TAATTATAATTTAATAGCAGTTTATTACACACCTAATCTAATTTTCCATCCTAAATATAACATCTAAATGAAAATCTAAATAGGCCGTTTATATATTCATTAACAGAATATATAAAATCAAGAAGGTGTCTAGAGTTCTGTATGCAATGGCCTACTTTGTTGAGGCAGAGTTTATCAATTAACATCCAGTTCTCTTAAATTTTTTAAAGTGTCCATATCCATTAGCTGGAATTAAAATGACATATTTATAAGATTAAATAGTTTTGCATATCATCCCATTGCATCTATATTTTATCATGCTCCTATTTGAAAATGCTTTTTTTACTTTATTTTTTTGGTATTTTTTTATTAAAAATTTCCACCTCCTCCCCTCTCCCCACTTACCTGACCTCCTCCCACTACACCTCCGCCTCCCTCTTCAGTCCAAAGAGCAGTCAGGGTTCCCTGCCCTTTGGGAAGTCCAAGGTCTTCCCCCTCCATCCAGGTCTAAGAAGGTGAGCATTCAAAGACTAGGCTCCCACAAAGCCGTACATGCAGTAGAATCAAAACCCAGTGCCATTGTCCTTGGCTTCTCCGTCAGCCTCCATGGTCAGCCACATTCAGAGAATCCAGTTTGATCACATGCTCCATCAGTTCCAGTCCAACTGGCCTTGGTGAGCTTCCATTATATCAGTCTTATTGTCTCAGTGGGTGGGCGCACCCCTCGTGGTCCTCATAACATAACAACATACACTGAGGAAATTCAGAGAATCATTAGGTCTTACTATAAAAGCCTATTTGCCACAAAGTTCGAAAATGTAAAAGAAATGGACTTTTTTTTTTAAAAGATAAGTAGTATATACCAAAATTAAATCAACCAGGTAAACAATTTAAATAGACCTATTAGTCGTGAGGAAACAGAAGCTGTCATAAAAAACCTCCCAACCAAAAAATGCCCAGGACCAGATGGATTTAATGCAGAATTTTATCAGAACTTCCAAGAAGAGCTGATACCTATACTCCTTAATGTGTTTCACATAATAGAAGAGTCATTGTCAAACTCTTTTTATGAAGCTAGAGTCACCTTGATTCCAAAACCACACAAAGACCCAACCAAGAAAGAGAATTACAGACCAATCTTACACATGAACATTGATGCAAAAATTCTCAATAAAATTCTGGCAAACATAATCCAAGAATACATTAAAAAATTATCCATTACAATCAACTAGGCTTCATCCCAGAGAGGCAGGGCTGGTTCAACATATGAAAATCTATCAATGTAATCCATCATATAAATAAACAGAAAGAAAAAATCATATGAACATTTCATTAGATGCTAAAAAAGCATTTGACAAAATTCAACATCCCTTTATGATAAAGGTTTTGGAGAAGTTAGGGAATACAAGGATCATGCCTAAATATAATAAAAGCAACATATAGCAAGCCAACAGCTAATATCAAATTAAATGCAGAGAAACTCAAAGCCATTCCACTAAAATCAGGAATAAGACAAGGCTGTCCACTCTCTTCATATCCCTTCATCATAGTGCTTGTAGTTCTAGCAATAGCAATAAAACAACATTTTCCAATTTTTTAGTAACAAATACAGGAGAATTTCAAGGGTTGATTGATGTTGAGCATTTAACTGCTGCTGTACCAGCTGTTCTAAGACCTTCAATTTCTCTGTTGTTAAAGGACATCACTGAATCCAAGGAGGTTTGTCAGTTAACTGTTATAGAGATATTGTTTTTGGTCCCTCTGAGAGATCAACAGATGTTATAACCTGTTTTTGTACAGCCTGACTGGTTGGTGATTGTGTTTTCTGTTAATATTTTTGCCAGAAACTTGAGTTGGTTTATAGTCTGTTTCTGAGATTGGAGAAATGTTAATCTGGGTATTCCATTGTTACAACAAATCATGACCCCATATGGCATCCATATTCCTCTGTGTCCTTCTAGCTGTATATATTTAAGTTTTTTGTTGTTGTTGTTGTTTATGTTTTTTTTTTATTTTATTTTCGAGACAGGGCTTCTCTGTAGCTTTTTTGGTTCCTGTCCTGGAACTAGCTCTTGTAGACCAGGCTGGCCTCGGACTCACAGGGATCTGCCTGCCTCTGCCTCCCTAGTGCTGGAATTAAAGGCATGCGCCACCATCGCCCGGCTCTAGCTGTATATATTTAACCCATCTAAATGCTTTGTTTTATATGAGATAAGGTCTCAGTCCTTAAAAATTGAGCATCTACATCCTGAGAAGGCAAATTTGGATGCCATGATTCTGGTGTAGTCATTATCACATTTGCCCCTGTACCCAAAAGACATCATATACAGTTTCCTCATGTCATTTATTCATATCCTTAACTTTGATATTTGATCATTTATAGAAGTCTAGAAAATATTGGCTTTTTAGTTTCTCCTAGAATTTTGATTCATCTTCCAAAGCTGTTCTATAATCCAGAGCAGTATTTTTTTTTTTAACAATAAACACTGGAACCTATAATTTCTCTGTGGAGGAGCTTCTCCCACAGTGACTGGGAATGGCAGTACCATATTCAATTTTGGGACCTGTGAGAGATCCCCGGGGATCTCTTGGTGGTAAAAGTTTGCCTTGTTTTTCTCTTGTTGAGCTGCATTCATTGTTCCAGTGTTGACCTTTGCTACACATTCTGCATATTCCAGAAGCAAGGGCCTTTTTTTTTTGGATTAGAAGAAACATTCTTTGTAGGAATTCCCTGTCTACAATCACATTTTAAGTATCTCTGTTTGCCATAATTAAAACATTCAACATTTTGGTTTCTCTTTAAGCCTTTGGAAATCAGCCCTCCTACCCAAACTTGATCAAAGTCAAGAGACTCAATATTGACTTTGTGTTTAATGCGTTCCTTCATAAATGCTGATCTAATCTTTAATACCCCAATTATTTTTTTTGCATTGTGAATTTTCATTTTCAATAACCAAAGCCTGGTGGTGGTGGCACATTCTTTTAATCCAAGCACTCAGGAGGCAGAGGTCAGTGGAGCTCTGTGAGTTCAAGGTCAGCCTGGACTACAGAGCAATTTCCAAGACAGGCTCCAAATGTACAGAGAAACCCTATCTCAAAATCAAAAAGTACAAATGTCAAAGATCAAATTATTTCCTGTCTGATTTCTCAATCTGGTATCATTCTGTTTATGGTTTTAGTCAATCTTTGCAAATAATCAAAAAAGGTTCCTTTGAGTTTTGTATAGCTTTAGTATATGACTTAATTCTCTTTTCTAATTCTTGAATCTTGTCCCATGCATTTAAGGCTGCTGTACAGCATGGGAAAAAAGTGTGTTCATCAAATGTAACTTGACTATTTATATCAGCATAATGGCCCTTGCAAAGTATTTGATCTTGGCGAATCTCAAAACCTTTAGTGCTATTTTGCCATTCAAGGGTCTTAGCATCTGCCTCAACCAGCTTTTCCATTCTAATTGAGAACCATATTCTAATAATGCTGTGAATTATTAATTCCAGTCACTTGGAATAATTTAGTTCTGAGAGGACTATGTATTCAATATCTGTCTCACAAACACTGAATGCACGCAGGAAACTATAACTTCCTTAATATTTTTTTAAATCCATCATATGTATAAGTTTCCATTTACATTCTCCATAATCTTTGGGATAATTGTCATTTGCTGGCCTTTCATAAATGGTAACCGAACAAATCATGTTTGGTGCACAAACAACCTTATGCCGCTCATCTCTAATTCCGTAAGTTAATGGTAAGGCAACTTTTAACCACTCATCGTCAGTTCCATCAGTTGATGCTAACATAGTTCACCTCTTAATTCTTTCATCTGTGTTGGCAAACTCTTAACAGTACTAATAAGTTTTTCTAAGGCTTGGAATTTACTACTAGTTGCCTTAAAGAGGGGTTGAATTTTAAACAGTGAGTTGTTCTAAAGCCTTCAAAAGATCAGTCAGTTTCTAATTTTCTCCATTTGTAAATACCTCTAAAGTTTTTATCTTATCTGTCAAGTCTGTCTTATTTTCCTCAGTGACTATCTGTGGATATTATCTTCCAAAATCAGTGTCCTTCCTCCCAATTGCTCATAACCATTCTCCATGGTCTGTATTTTTTCATCCAATTTCTCATTACCATATTGCAAAGTACATATTATTTTAGTCAGTTTCTCATCAAACAATTTTTAATTATAATTTCTAGATTAATAACAATTGTAGCTAAAAATATATTCATCCTAGCAAGATTGTTTATCTCTTCTAGCATCACATCGATAGTACAAATGAACATATTCCTAATTGCCTCTATAATGACATTTTCAGCTGGTGACAGGGCAAAGCTTTAAAATTTGTAAACCTTTTATTTTCTTATTTTTTAATTTATTTCCTAATCTATTGTCTAAATTTGTCAAGTAATTTAAAATTTTGGAGAACTGCCATAGTGTAATAATCTTGATTGACCAGCAGATATTGCTGATGTTCAGATTGCTAGTTCCTGTGAAGATTTTAGGATGTATTAATGATGTTTGGCCATCAGTTGCTGCAGTTGAGGCACCAGAGTACTTCAGGGGACATCCTATATAGTGCTTTGATTCAGGCTTTAGGACCTGACTGTTCTTTGGATGAAATTTCCACCCAGGCCATCCCCTAACCTGGTACCTGTGATTGCTAGGCAGAATTGCAGGGATCCCAGAAGAAGGATGGGAAAAAAAACTACTACATACATGTCCCACAGCAGATGATTTAAACCAAACAAATTTGGTTAGAGACAGAAGCTTTACACCATAATAGTTGTCTATTACCATTTTATTGCATTGGATTTGGAGAATTATCAGCACAAAGAAAATATCCTAAGCAGCAGGACCAAAATCTATCCAGTGTCTGTATAAGCTGAGCAGTACTGATTTGGGAGGACACCCAACAGCTACAAAGGCCTAGACCACACAAGTACTATGCGGCAATGTGTTCATGATAGCCTAGCACAGGTACTTCAGAATACAGCATGGATACTGAGGTGAGGGAGGAGGACTTTGGTGGAGTAAGTGCTGCAGATGTCTCTGGGACCTAGCATGAACAATAATTAGGATTCCATAGCAACTACTAACAATATTGCTCAACCTGCCAAGTGTGTGAGCCTCTGACTTGATGGAGGGCAATTTTGAGCAAGTCTGCCCTCCCACTAGCCAAGCAGGGATTTTAAAAAGTGGGTGTGGACACAGTTAAAACAAGTACAATCATCCAGCTCCGGTGGGGGGAAGGTAGCATGGAACAGTACTTGGATGGCAGTTCAGTCACAGGCAGGGCTTGCCAAAACTGACGGGCAGTGGTGGAGTTGGGGGGAAAGCTTGTGGGGCAGTGGGACCCTACAGGGGTGTTTAGGGCACAACCACATGGGAGCCAGGTATAATAGAAACTTTGGGGATGGTTTTACCATTTATTAAATCAAACCCAAGGACTATGATTGCAGGACCAAAGGAGAACTTCAAGTCACATCTCCAGCCACTGTACTATACTGCCAGGGAACCAACTCACTACTGCTACACTGTGACCCCTTTCCAAAGGGCCAAAGGGAACTCCAAACAGTAGCTCTGCTCGTTCACTCACCATCCCAAAGAGAGAGAACATGAACCTCACCCTCAGTTATCATCTAGCCACATACCCAGAAAGAATCATGCCCTCAGGGCTTCATGCCCCAGTTTCATTAGCTTATCAGACCAAATTCCCACAACACTGGACAATGTCAAGCAGAAGAATTA